CGATGGCTTTACCGGTGCAGGAAAAGTTTTATACAGCAGAGAAAGCATGGAAAAATTTCTCTCTTCTCTCCCTCAAAAATAAGTTCCAGTGCTTTGTTTTTTACTCCAACACTGGAAGTTTTTAAGAAGAAACTAATCCAGGAGAGAAGCAGCCTAGAACTAAGGAGAAACCTCCTGACAGTGAGAACAATTAACCAGTGGAACAACCTGCCTCCAGAAGCGGTGAATGCGCCAAAACTGGAAGTTTTTAAGTAAAGACTGGACAGCCATTTGTCTGAAATGGGATAGGGTTTCCAGCCTGAGCAGGGGGTTGGACTAGATGACCTCCAAGGTCCCTTCCAGCTTTATTATTATTACTCAATCCTGTTTGCAAAGAAAACATGGGCTGTGTGATTTCAGGCCTGGGAGGGGGGGGGTCCTTGGTGCTCTCCGAGCTTGGTGGTTTTTCTTGCAGACATCTCTTGCTTGAGCAGGCGGGCTGGACTAGAAGACCTCCAAGGCCCCTTCCAGCTCTAGTCTATTCTATTTCTATTTAACATCACCAGTGCTAGAAGGAAGTGGGCCTTTGCTCTCTGTTTCCACACGAGCAATCTGGAAGAAAACGAGAGCCACAAAGTCCCCACCACAGTTCAACTCGGAGCTACAGATATTCGCTTTTATTTACATGTATAAGCAGAGGCAAAGGTCCAGAGCTGTGGGACACCAAGGCAAATCAGTCAACTTTGCATACCAAAGGTCTCACTTTTAACCCACCACCACTACCACAAACACACACCTTCAACGAAACAGAAAATGCCCAAGGTCACAGGGACGAGCGCTGTAACGCTGAATTAAAAAAATGAATGCGTTCTGAATCAAAATATGTTTTCTTGGCCAAGCTGTGTGAGTCATTCAATCAAGATTTCTGGCTGCCGGAGTTTTGCTGCATCCAGTTTCGTTTCGCATGTTAGCCGTGCCTTTTCCGTAACGAGATAATTGAGGTTTAATTATAACGATGACGGCAATTAAGTCTCTTTTATTCTGGAGGGCTCGCTTGAGCGTTGGGGAGAGCAGAAAAACACAGAAAAATGGCAAGGAAGCTGCTTTAGGAAATGAGGAGGGTATAGCTATTTGTAATTCAACTCAAGCTTTTTTTTGGAGGGGGTGGGGGGAAAAGAGGCCAACAGGGAACCAATGTTAAGAATTTTGACCCTTGTAGGCGCATTGTCTCCAGTGCTAAAGAGACAGCCAAACTCTACACGTATGTAATGGAAACGAAGGGTTACAACCACTCCTTTAGGGACTGCTCAAACTTACAATGGCACTGGAAAAAAGTGAATTGTGGCCATTTTTCACCCTCGTGGCTGTTGCAGCACACACACACACACACGTCCCATAAGCACGTGATCAAAATTCAGACGCTTGGCAACTGACTTGTACTTATGCCGGTGCAGCCCCCCAGGGTTAATGGGATCCCCTTCTGAGAAGCAACGTCAAGGGGGAAGCCCATTTTACTTAACAACCGTGGTTACTGACTCAATCCTTGCAGTGGTTCCCTTAACCAGGATGGCTGGAAAGTCCGCAAAACTCGCTGAATTCACTGTCTCACTTAGAAACAGAAAAGTTGGGGTCCTTAAGTGGCAAACTACCCTACACTGTTTTGATGGCCGCACCAGGTGAAAGAGCGTCAGAATAAAATACATAAATCGTGAAAACTTCCTGTTATTCTTAGCTTCTCTCCCCAGCCTCATAAAGGGATGATGATGGGGTGGCTCTCTTTCCTAGATGAATGATCGCCATGGCAACAGCATCCCTCACCTTCTGGTCCTCTCAGCTCAGTGGAAACGCTGCAGTGACTTGTGCTGAGACTGCAAAACAGACTTTTCGGCCGCCCGGGCTAAACATACGGAAACTGGCTTGGAAACTGCCGTGGTCAGCAAGTTTGCACCCGTTGTTGAGAGAGAGAGAGAGAGAGACAAGAACACACATGCTTGACCAGTGCGTGGCCATCACATGTAATGGAGCTAAGGGGCCCCTGCAGCGGTCATCCCTGCCAGCATCCCTTCCCTCTAAAAAACTAATAGAAAGGGGATCTCTAAACTGATTGTGGGTTTTTTAAAATTATTATTTTAAAACAGTCGAGGTTTCCCTGTATGGTGCTTTTCCTTGGAATAACATGGTGTTAATAATAATAATAATAAAGTTGGAAGGGACCTTGGAGGTCATCTAGTCCAACCCCCTGCTCAAGCAGGAAACCCTATACGATTTTGGACAAATGGCTGTCCAGTCTCTTCTTGAAAACTTCCAGTGTTGGAGCATTCACCGCTTCTGGAGGCAGGTTGTTCCACTGGTTAATTGTTCTAACTGTCAGGAAGTTTCTCCTTAGTTCCAGGTTGCTTCTCTCCTTGATGAGTTTCCATCTGTTGCTTCTTGTCCTGCCTTCTGGCGCTTTGGAGAATAGCTTGACTCCCTCTTCTTTGGGGCAGCCCCTGAGATACTGGAACGCTGCTATCATGTCCCCCCTCGTTATTCCAAGACATTTTTCCAAAAAGCCAGTCTCATCTTTGGAGTTAAAGCAATAGAGTACAGGTTGTCCTTGACTTACAACCGTATTTACGACGGTTGCCGTCTCCCGGGGTCACGTGATCTCCTTTTGAAACCTCCTGACAAGCCAAGTCCATGGGGAAAGCAGATTCACTTCACAACCGTATTCCTAATTTAACAACTGCAGCAGGAAAAGTCGTAAAACGGGGCAAAACTCACTTAACAAATTTCTCACTAACAACATCAATTTGGAGCTCAATCGTGGTCGTAAATAGAGGACTAACAGTGTATCAGAAATCAAGCTTGATTAAGAAATAATGGGGCAGACTCAACGTACGTCCGCTCAGAAGGAAATCATTTTTATGGGGCTTTATTTCCGAGGACTAGACAGAGAAGGAAGACTGCCCAAAACTGGAAGAGGGAAGAAATCTGAAATTCATGCATGTTTTCCCCTTCCTTTCTTGTTTTAATGTGGTTTTCAGACTGAAAGCATCTGCTTTCCTGGTGTGACTATTAAGAATTTTAATTACATCGAAATTGTGAACGCTGGTTAGAATAAAATACAGTCGAAGCTATTCAGAGTCCTAAACTAAGACATTAACCCTTTTTGACAGTCCTTGTTTAAGACAGCCGCAGTTTGTTAGACGCCAAAACAAGCCAGGGGTCATTTATAATGGGGATGGGTGCTAAATTATGATTTATGCTGGATCTGAAGCAGAATGGTTCTAGCCAAAGGTGGATCCCACCTTTCCAAGCACTTCAAATCTTATTACAATCAGAATCCCTTTTAAGGCAACAGGTAAGTTTGGGGGTATTTCAAAAGCTGAGACTCACAACGCAAACATTTATCGGTTCAGTACAATACTGCTTCCTGCACCACACAACCAGTTGTTCAGTGGTTTTCCGCTGCCACCGAAATCTACAATAAAACAGCCTGATCTTTTGCCACAGACTCAAATCAGAGAGAAGCAGGTTCAAATCCTGAAGCCAGCTCAACACGGGGCTTTTTCGATCAAACTGTTTTCTCCAGATTCAACAGAAAAACACTTTAGAGCAAGGGTGCAGTTATACACACACAACAGATCACTAAACAAGTGCTGTTGTGGTGCGGTTTGTTTCACTTTTGAAGAAGACTGCAGCAAATCCATCCTGACTGCGGATTAAGCAACGGTGCCATCTAGCGGCTTGCAGCCCCAAGTGGACTTGGTGCAATTACACACTTTTTTAATCAATAAGACGCTTAAACACACACACACACACACAAAAAGCTTTCAGTGAGCAGATCCTTTTCCAGAGCTGAAAATAACACCCCCTCCTGGGCCAGCCTGCCATCCACGCTGGCTCGGGAATTCTGGGAGTTGAAGTCCACAGGTCGTACAGTTGCCATAGCTGGCCACCCCTGCTTTAAGTCATGGGGAAACGGGTGCGCACGCCCTACATGCCAGGGCTTTCCAAACATGGCAACTTTAAAAGACTTGTGGACTTCCAACTCCCAGTGTTCCCCAGCCAGCATGGTTGGCTGAGGGATTCTGGGAGTTGAAGTCCACGAGTCCTAAAGTTGGAGACCCCATAGCACACTGACTGACAGCTGAGCCGGAGTAAAATGTCAGAACACTTTCTACAAATCCATTTAACAAAGGACCAAGTGTGAAACCACCGCTTGGCTGGTGTTTCTTTGCATTTTGTGGTATCGAAAGACACCCCCCCCAAACCCATCTCCAGATGTTCCTTTCTCTCTTTTCATCAAGGTTATGAGTCACACCACTTGCTGCCAACTGCAAAGCTAGCGTAAACGGCTTGCGAATTAAGCTCTGTTCTGGAATCTCTAGCCGTGTCTACATAAATTTCCCCCCGGTTGTGTCTCTATCTTATCTATCTATCTATCTATCTATCTATCTATCTATCTATCTATCTATCTATCTATCTATCTATCTATCTATCTATCTATCTATCTATCTATCATCATCTATCTATCTAGTCTGCCTGCCTGCCTGCCTGCCTGCCTGCCTGCCTGCCTGTATCTATCTATCTATCTATCTATCTATCTATCTATCTATCTATCTATCTATCTATCTATCTATCTATCTATCTATCTATCATCTATCTATCTATCTATCTATCTAAATAAATAAATAAATAAATAAAATGTAAATGTTCATTTGTTCAAAATCTTAAATCTCCGAAAGTTCTTCACCGATTGCTTTGAAATTTTGACACAACGTTGCATTCAAATACGCGCGTGTTTTTATATACCTACTATTATATAGATGTCACACCTGTGACAGGTAAAAACGTGCTTTTTTTTGAAAAACAGCGCTATCTGTTGGACGTAAAAGCATACCCACAAGCATTGTGAAATGAAACATATTACAAACGTGCGCTTTCTCTTTTCTTTCTTTTCCATTTAACCAGACTGAGCCACAGCAACGCGTGGCCAGGTACAGCTAGTTGTTTTAACAAACAGGCACACAGCCTACCTTCCTGCAGCACGGGTTGGGACAGCTGAACCGCTTCACGTCCTTGTCCAGGAGAGCCGGGAAGTTACAAAAGGGACACCTAGAAACCAGAGGAAGAACGAGTGAGGGGAAGCTTGCACAAAGCAAGGCTTTATGGAAACGGACGGCCACTGAAATGAAGACGGAATAGCCACCGCGGCCTCCCGTCGCAGTGCAGGTAATCCTCAACTTACAACTCGACTCTTCAAAGTTACAACAGCAAACGGAAAAAGCGACTCACGAGCAGACTTAAGAGTCCTGAGGTCGTGGGGGTCGCCCCTTTGCCACCTTCCCAGACGGCTTCTGACAAGCCAAATCAATGGGGGAAGGCAGGCTTGCTCAAGAACTGCATGGTTCCACTTAACGACGGCAGTGGTTTAGCGACTGGGACAAAGAGATCGTAAAAATCGGGTGACCTTTCTTGCTTAGCGTGGAAATTCTGGTCCCAAACTGTGATTGTAAGTCGAGGATTACCTGGATCTCCTCCGAGGCTCCTCTGGAGTCCGTGACGTTAAACCAGGTTGTGTGAACTCCACCGTGGGTCTTTCCAGCGGCAGGTCACCCCAGGCCCCATTCCTGTGGCACTCAAGAGTTCCCAGGTTGCAAAACCACCGAATTGCGTTTTTTTTTGTTTTTTTTTAGCAAAACAGGAGCCAAATACCTGTTAAAACCCAGGTTAAACTTCTGCAAGGTTTAAGGCGCTCCCCTGCCTCTCCAAAACCGACACAAACCCAAATATTTTCCTCCTCCTCCTCCTCCTCCTCCTCCTCCTCCTCACATAGACCCAAAGATTTTCCTCTTCTTCTCTCCCCCCCCCTCAAAAATGAAGAGACTGGCCACTGGCAGCTGGAAAAAGCTGCCTGCCCAATGCGAAGCAAGGCTAATTAATATGAAATTAAAAAAGAAATGCTGGGAGATTGGGGGTGGGAGGGAGAGGGAGGAAAAACACGCTCATTTGAGGTTCCTGGCCTGCAGAAAGATCACAGGATCTGCGGAAAAGGAGGACGGCGAATAGAAACAGATTTCTGCGCCGTCACACAGCCGGTTTACAGACGCCTCTGTGCAGACAAAGCTTTGCCGAGCAATAAAAGGCCAGGATTTGACGTCTCTTTGAGTTGCAACGTGGATTGGTGGCATCTGCTGCCACGTACAGAGCCTTGAAAGGGGGGAAGGATGCTCCTAAGTCTCCCCCCACCCTGGGGAGTGAGCTTTACCTGACCAGCTCATCGGCGCAAGCAGCCGCCACCTCTTCCTCGCCTTTCCTCTCGTAGTATTTGCAGAGGATGTTTTCAGGAAGCACTTTCTCCAGCTCACTGGTGGGGAACGAACACGTGCAGCTCCCTTCCATGCAGCTCAGCTCTGACTGGGTTGGGGGGAAAAAGAAGGAGGAAGAAGAGGGAGGACGTGAAGGTTATGGGGGCCCCCGGAGTGAGGGATGTGCACGTGTGGTGGCGCAGTGGCTAGAATGCAGCGTTGCAGGTGGGGGAAAAAAGAAGACCAAGCAACGATAAAATAGGCAGGAAGAAAAGCTTGGGTGAAAACCTGCTGGTTTGGGGAGCTGTGTGTAAGGGGGCGTCCTTTTGCGTGAGTCAGAGTTGCGATAGAGGAGAATCTCGGCAGCTCAGGGTGGAATTGTGGGGTCCGTGGTGCTCTCCGAGCGTGGTAGTTTTCTTGCAGACGTTTCGTGGCCCAACTAGGTAACGTCATCAGTGCCAGTCTGATGATCACTAGCACTGATGAGGTTACCTAGTTTGGGTCATGAAACGTCTGCAAGGAAACAACCAAGCTCAGACAGCATCAAGGATCCAGTCTTCCTCCTTCCCCTCACTTTCCTCTTCCTCCTCTTTGCAAAACCCCCTCCCTTCTAGCACTGATGATGTTACCTAGTTTGGGTCATGAAACGTCTGCAAGAAACAATCAAGCTCAGAGGAGCACCGAGGACCCCACAGTTCTCCTCCCTCTTCTTCTCCTCCACTGCCTTCTAGCACTGATGATGTTCCCTAGCTGGGTAAACAAACGTGTGCAAGGAAACAGCCAAGCTCAGAGAGCACCAAGGACCCCACAGCCCTCCTCCCTCTCCTTCTCCTCCTCCCTCTCCTTCTTCATTGCCTTCTAGCACTGATGATGTTCCCTAGCTGGGTCATGAAACGTCTGCAAGAAAACAGCCAAGCTCAGAGAGCACCAAGGACCCCTCAAGTCAGAGTCCCAACTGCTTTGGGTCTACCCTAAAGAGAGGGCGCTCACCTTTCCAGAGCCAAAGACGGCCTCCTGAGCATATTTTATTAAGCATTCCTTGCAGAACAGGTGTCCATCCGCACACTGGGTCAGCTCTTCAAACGCAAATTCCCCGTAGCAGCAGCGGCATTCGATCAGCTGGCCATCCTGAAAAAAAATCAGACCCAAAAGTTGAGTTCTCGTCACTGCTTTGGCCCTTGCTCTGCCTAAGAGACTCGGTTCCCTTGCATGAAACTGCAACTTAGAAGGGGCACCTCAGGAGTATCAAGCCTGACCTGCTTCAAAGACTCCTTTTGCCACATGGAACAAAAGTTTTACAGGCCCAGTTTTGAAGAACACAGGCATTCCACAAGCCACAGGTGAGTTTTTGCGCTTAGAAGGTGAAACAGGACCAAGTTAACCACGAACAGGAACAGATCAACCTTGTTAGCCCCAGTACAGGTAGTCCTTGACTTAGGACCACAACTTTCAAGGGAAAATTGGCCGGTTTTTAAGTGAGGCATCACACGACCGCACCAGGTTTTACGTCCTTTTTCCCCCCCAAAGAGGTCATTAAACGAATCGCCGTACTTGCTAAATGACGCACCGTGTGATCACCATTTGCAACCTTTCCTGCTGGCTTCCCCAAGGAAGCTTGTTGGAAAACAGGTGGGAAAGCCGCAAATGCTGCAGCCGTCATAAAATCATGTGGGTTGCCAAGGGTTCAAATTGTGACCTTGTGGACTTTTTGACGGTCATAAATGCCATCACAGCTTGACGTAGCCAGCCTTTTTTTTAATAAAAAAATCAATACAATTTGTCACAGATGTCTTTCAGCTACTTACTTTTTGATACTGCTCTTCATTCATCTGCAGGGCAAGAAGAAAATCTGCATGCTGGCGAGAAAGAAAAGACACACTTAGCATTAATAATAGTGAAAACAGAGCATCTACCTTTATTATTAATGCTGGGAAATCTCCTATGTACTGTTTGCTTTTTAATCTTTGATTGGGATTGATTTGCAGAGAGTTGGCCGAAAGATGGGTGGCGATACACATGGTTTAAATAAATCAGAATTAAAAAAGAGATGGGTGAAAATTCTGGCAGGTCCAATTCTGAATCTGCCTCTGAATCTAGAGAACGAGAACTTGGATTTTGGTTCCAGGTTTAGACGTGCCATTGGTTTTTCACTGATATGTTTAGAATTGTAAACCATCCAGTGTCACTTGGCTGAGATGGGCGGCTACGGAAATTGAACGATTGATTAATTCAATGAAATGAAATGAACGGAAGAAAACCAACTTGCGGTGTATCCCACTGAGACTACTGAGAGTATTTTTTAAGGAGAGTTGCAGCTTGTTTGCTATTTGTTCAACCTACAGTGATCAGGCCTTTGATTTTTACCAGATCTTTACGTGCGAGGGGAGAGGACAGGCGCCCCATTCCCACCCCTCCCAGCCATGGCTGCAACTACCTCCGCCATCTCTTTGATCTTCTGTTCGTAAAACTCCCTCTCCAGCTGCACCGGGGGCAGGAGAGAGAGCTGGTCGTAATTCCTCCAGTGGCGTCGTTTGTTCTCCAAGAAAAACATGCGCTTCTCAATCTTGGTGTCACCTGGAGCGTAGTTTGAAAGCATGACGGGTCGTTAAAAAAAAAAAAAGCAACAAATCAAATGCTTCTCTTAAGATAAGATACAAGATAAGGTAACCTTCACTGCCCTTTTTTACTATGAGCACACTGGCCCACGTGAAAAACGAAATTCATTTTTATAAAGGGTTAAAAAAATGGAATAAAGGCTAGGAAGGGAAATGGTACCATTATTAATGTCAAACATATAAACCCAGATGTGTTGCTGACTAAACACTAAAGATTGTTACTGTAAAAAAGTAATAAAATATACATTAAAAAAAATGAAATTCTGTTGCCTGCTCTCAAAAGAAAGTGTATATCCGCACATAAATATATATAAGACACATATACACATGCTATTCCAACACACAGACATATATAGGTGTGTGGGCAGATTCATTTCACAACCATGTTGTTAACTTAAAAACTGTAATGATTCACTTCAGGGGTTGTCCCAAAGAAGAGGGAGTCAAGCTATTATCCAAAGCCCCTGAAGGCAGGACAAGAAGCAACAGATGGAAACTAATCAAGGAGAGAAGCAACCGAGAACTAAGGAGAAACTTCCTGACAGTTAGAACAATTAACCAGTGGAACTCCTTGCCTCCAGAAGCTGTGTATGCTCCAACACTGGAAGTTTTAAAGAAGAGACTGGACAGCCATTTGTCTGAAATGGTATAGGGGTTTCCTGCCTGAGCAGGGGGCTGGACTAGAAGACCTCCAAGGTCCCTTCCAGCTCTATTCTATTCTAACTTAACAAGAGTGGAAAGAAAAGTCGTAAAATGGGGCAAAACTCAACTTGACAAATTTCTCACTTAACAACATAATAAATTCCGGGCTCCACTGTGCTCATAAGTTGAGACCTAACTGTATTTCATTAGGTTTTCAAAGCAACATCCAGTGCAAAGAAAATTTTTGAGGGAAAAATGCCAAGGAAGGTAATCTGGGCCCCTTTGGTGGTTCCGTGGAGCCCACCTTAAGATTCACCAGATCTTTCTCAGACCTTCATGCTGAAACACTGAGGTGGAGACGCATCTCTTCGGGCTAAAATTGCCTCTTTATTTTTTATATTCCGCCACCAGCAGCTCGACCCACCTCTGCAGAGTCACCAAGAGAGCATCCTCCAGCAGAAAAGGGCTTACCCTGCTCAAATTTGAAGTCTATGTAAGAATACTGGTTCATTTCTTTCCTCCTTTTTCGCTTCCCGCTGGTTTCCGGAGACAACTCTTGCCATTTTTTGATGGCGTCGGAGAAGGCCTGAAAAAAAAAGAGAGAGGGGGAGAGAAAAAAAGAGGCATAAACCGAGATGTGAAGATGGAAGCACGGATGTAATTAAAGCTTCCGCAGCTATCTGGACTGGGGAGGATTAAGTCTGCATGCTCCTCTGGAAGGCACAGAGGCCTCGGGGTGGATCGTGCAGCCCCCCCTGTCCCACACCCCCAAATCCAGGTGCAGCTGGGTCTTTGAAGGGCTGTAACCCAAGTGTCACTTTTACAGGGGCAGAAGAAAATTATGATCCCTACAATTGGAGAATAAGTCATCTCAAGATGGAGCTTGCAGGCACGGCTTAATTAACATCTTTGATCAGAGAAAAAAAAAACCCAGGATCTACGTTTATATTTTACAGTTATCTACGTTTATTTATTTTACTGGACCAACCCTTATAGATCTTTTCCATGAAATGGGGAAACAAAATGTATTTATGACTTGTCGTTTTGATGATTGGGGGGGGGGGGAAACAACAACACCTGAATCCTAAAAAAAAAAGCGAGCAACCGGGGAGAGGAGATGATTTTTGTTTGTTTTGATCCTCTCTGCACTTGTTCTTTTTTTCTTGCCAGCTTCTACTTTTTACTAGCTTGGGTTAAGTTTTCACGTGCTTTGTAAAACCTTTTAATTAGAACAATTACTTTAAAAAAAGAGAGAGAGAGAGAGAATTCATTCAGTTCTGCTTAGTTAAATTGTCGATGGAAGCAAAGCAAATACATAAATGGGGCAAAATTCCACTTAACGACTGTCTCGTTAAGTTAGCGGTGGAAATTTTGGGCTCAACTGTGGTCTGTAAATCGAGGACTCCCTGGATCAGAGGACTTTGGATTCCGGGCTCCTAAGAGATTTCTTTTTCAGCCCAGGCTGCGTGTGTCTCCCCGTTTTGGACGTAAAAGGAGGACCCTCTCGGAAAGGAGGGGAGAGGGGGGAGCGAAAGAGGATAACCTTTCGTGTGATTGCATAGTGTCCCTTGAGTTCGTGGAGCGCCCACTTGATGTCTTGGCTGCTCAGCATTTTGAAGTCGGCCATGAGGAGGTCAGCAGCTTGAATGAAGCAACGTTGGTCGAGCGGATCCAGCTTGGAGAAGTCGAAATAGTCCACTTTAGGCACCTGGAGGGGGAGGAGGAGGAGGAGGAAGAGGAGGGGATGAAGAGGAGGAAGAGGAAGAGGAGGAGAAGGGAGAGGAAGAGGAGGAGGAGAAAGGGGAGGAGGAGGGGAAGGGAAAGCAAGAGGAGGAGGGGGGAGGAGGAGGAAGAGGAGGAGGAAGAGATGAAGAGGAGGAGGAGAAAGAGGAGAAAGAGGAGGAGGAGAAAGAGGAGAAAGAGGAGGAGGAGGGGAAGGAAGAGGAGGGGAGGAGGAAGAGAGGAGAAAGAGGAGAAAAAGAGGAGAAAGAGGAGAAGGGAGAGGAGGAGGGGAAGGGAGAGGAGGAAGAGGAGGAGAAAGAGGAGGGGATGAAGAGGAGGAGGAGGAAGAGAGGAGGAAGAGGAGAAAAAGAGGAGGAAGAGGAGAAGGGAGAGGAGGAGGAGAAGGAAGAGGAGGAATAAGAGGAGGAGGAGGAAGAGGGGGAGGAGGAAGAGGAGGAAGAGGAGAGGATGAAGAAGAGGAGGAAGAGAAAAAGAGGAGAAGGGAGAGGAGGAGGAGAAGGAAGAAGAGGAGGAATAAGAGGAAGAGGAGGAAGAAAACAGAAAAAAAGTTAGGTACTTTTTTCACATAAACTTTAGCATTTTAATGCAGTTCTGAAGATGCACACAGGTAGCCCTGACTTACGACTACATTTGGGACCAGAATTTCCGTGGTTAAGCAAGGTAGTTGTTAAAACGAGTCACGCCCAGTTTTACCACCTTTTTCGCCACGGTGGCTAAGCAATTTGCACTGTCAGTAAGCGAATCCAGCTTGCCCAACTGGGCTTGTCCAAAGCCAGCTGGGAAAGTGGCCATGGGGTGATCCCGGGATGCTGCCACCCTCATGAACAAATCACGCCGGTCATCCAGTGCCTGAATTCTGATCCTGGGACCTTGGGGGGGATCCTGTTGATGGCCGTTAAGCGCAAGGACCGGTTACTTTTTCCAGCTTCGAACAGTCACCACAAACACAGGGTTGTGAAGTAGAGGGCAACCTGTGCGCCAGCACCTCACACTTGCCTTCGTCTCATCTTGGCTGGAAAGCAGGCTGCTGTTTGGGTTCAAAATCATGCTGAGTTCCTTCTTTGGGTAGTCTGGATTTTCCAGAAGCAGATTGCAGAGTCTGCAAAGCAAAAAGGGAGCTTTGGAAAGAGCCGTCGTCTTTTGAAGAGCCTTCCCCTGGCCCATCGAAAATTAAGACAAAATTAAAACGCTCTGCGAGGTCCAGACACGTGGGGGAAGGTTGAGGGGGTACACATTCAAAGCAACACAAAAGATCATCCTGGTTAAGAGAGAGAGAGAGATAGAACACAAAGTCGGAATCAGCTTTTGTTGGGTTGCAAGGAAGGGAAGCTTGCCCACAGCTGGCGAGTCCTGTGCCCGGTTTGATGACCATGAGCTGACGATACACGAGGCTTTTTTATACTTACATGTTTAAGTCACAGCAGTTTCTGCTCTGTATCAGCTCTTGGATGTACTCTCGCGTTGCGTCTGGAAACCTGGCTTCCTAGAAAAAGAGTTTGCCTTCAGAAGTTGTGGGTGCTCCATCCCTGGAGCTTTTCAAGGAGAGGCTGGACAGACTCTTGTCTGAAAGGGTATAGGGCAGGGGTAGACAACCTTGGCTCTTTTATGACTGGTGGACTTCAACTCCCAGAATCCCTCAGCCAGCATGGGGGAACTATGGCCCCTTCATGACTTGCGGACTTCAACTCCCAGAATTCCTCAGCCAGCATGGCTCAGCTTGGAAACCTCTCCATTTCTCCTCAGCATGGCTGGCTCAGGAATTCAGGGAGTTGAAGTCCACCAGTCATGAAGGGGCCAAAGTTTCCCTCATACTGGCTCAGGAATTCTGGGAGTTGAAGTCCACCAGTCATAAAAGAGCCAAGGTTGCCTACCCTTGGTATAGGGCCTCATGCTTGAGCAGGGCATTGGACTAGAAGATCTCCAAGGTCCCTTCCAGCTCTATTCAGCTTGATCTGAGTCAACCTTCAGCCGGTCAGGATCGAATTCCCGGCCCTGGGCAGAGTCAGCCAGCAATAGGCATTCTAGCCAATGCACCCCAACGGCTGAAGCAAGCGTAAGACTTACCGTTTCTCGGATGAGAAGTACAACCGGGTCTTTGTCCAACAGAGTAGCGGTCTGCTTGGGAAGCTCACCGGAGCTGGTGTCCAGTGACCCTTGGGCTGGAAACGCCGGACCGGCCTGCTCGTTTATTACAGCCTGCTGGCCTCCATTTTCCTCTGGGGGATGAGCTAGCTGAGGGGAAGCAGGGCCTGGGATTCCATCTTGCTGAGCTTCGGGCCTGGGGAAAGCCGGCCCGGGGATCTCTCCTTGGTATACCCTCGGCAAAGGTCCCAGTTCTCTTTCCAGGGAGGCCGCCTGAGAAGAAAGCAAATTGACCACCGCCCGTGCCTCCTTCTTCGCTGCCTGGAAGTACGGATGATCCAGCCGCATGTTTTCCTTAACGCAATGGACGACCCCTCCGGGGTTGGGTGCCAGCCGTGGCTCAAGCGTCCGATCTCCCTCCTCTGGGTTCTCCTGATTGGTCCCCACTTCCTCCAAATTAATGACCTCTGGGGCAACCTCTCTCTTCTGAACCGTGCTGGGCCCAGCCTCTGTCCCTCGGAGTCCCCTGGGGTCAACGGGCTCCGGAGAATCGGGTAATTCCAAGACCTCGGTTTGGGTCGGTCTGCTCAGTCCCACCCTCCCTGTCTTCAGGTAGTTCCGTCGGGTCGCCAGCAGCCGGGGAGAAACCGGGGTCTTGGTCTTCTGCTCCCTGTGAGGAAGGGCCACCACGTCGCCGTTAGATCCTCCTTCCCCTGTCTTGTTAAGGACTTGCCACGGAGCGGCGGGCTTGATCACGTTGGGCCGCAGGGACTTCTTGGTGGCTGTCTTTACAAGGAGGCAGAGAGGGGTTAGAGATTCGTAATTCAAACTGGCATTTAAAGAAGGCAGGGGAAATACTGTGCTTGGGACATTCCTCAAACCCTGCACCTGGTTTTACACACCAGACAAATTTGCTTGAGGTTTAGTGCAAAGCCTGACTCTGGCCAATGGCAGCCGACGCGCCAAACTGTGGTTTAATAAATTAATAAGGGAGGCTTAGCCGCAATTCTTAGTATAGGATAAGCCCAACTTTAGCTGCAGCTTATTTGGAAAACATTCCCAATTGTAGCCGATGCACCAAACTGTGGTTTAACAAATTAATAAGTAAGGCTTAGCCGCGAACTGGCATTTAAAGAATGCAGGGGAAATATTGTGCTATTTATTTAAATAAATAAATTTATATAAACCTTCTGCCTCCAGAAGCGGTGAATGCTCCAAGACTGGAAGTTTTGAAGAAGAGACTGGACAGCCATTTGTCCGAAATGGTATAGGGTTTCCTGCCTGAGCAGGGGGTTGGACTAGATGACCTCCAAGGTCCCTTCCAACTTTATTATTATTACATTTGAAGAATATCCTGTTCTTTGGTCAATAACAGGACAATCTCTGCCCAAGACTTCATTGATTGATGGATGATGTGCCCTTAAGTCCGTTCCCAGCAACCACATATTTTTTTTTGCCCACCCGCCCTCAGGATGATTTGTTGCTAACGTGCTCCTCCAGACCTCCACCCTTCACCACTGAACACACCCACAGGGATATGGGGAAGATTAAACACAGCTGTGTTTTTAAGGTGGCCTTGGAAGGTAACTAACAAGGTCTTTCTGCTCTTTCAGGAGAGATTGCTTCATTCATTCCTAACTTTATCTAATCCAGCACCCTATCCCTTGCTGGCAAATTCCACTGTTTAGCTTCTCCAGCAGGGCAGATAAGATGTCAGCCTTTATCTAAGGAAGCCTGTTTGAGGGGGGGGGGGTTGGTCTCGATGACCTCCAAGGTCCCTTCCAACTTTATTATTATTATTATCATCATCATCATCATCATCATCATTATTATTTTTATTATTATTATGGATCATCGCACAGTCAGCCAGATGTTCAGACTGGATTTGGCATTTTGTCTACCTATCGAGTCCTTACCAAGGACCTGGGATAGGCAGATGTGGATGTTTGATGGTATTACAGATCTCGTCGCAGGATGGAAACAGTTCCTAGTAAGGCTGCCTTTTGCAATTGACCGATGGCAGATTTGTCAATGCCGATGATGGTGTTCAAGTGGTGCTCCAGTTGTTTTGGGATTGCACCCAAGGCGCCTATTACTATTGGTACCACCCTTGCTTGCCTTTGCCACAGTCTTTCTATTTCTATTTGTAGGTCTCTGTATTTTGTTATCTTCTCCAGTTCTTTCTTGTCTATTCTGCTGTCTCCAGGCACTGCCATGTCCACTATCCAGACTTTTTTGTCTTTTTTTAATTATTATTATTATTATTATTATTATTATTATTATTAATTATTTCTCAAACCCTGCACCTGGTTTACACACCAGACAATGTGCAAAATCGCATCTTTGCTGCCTTCTCAAAGAGTGTTCAAGGTTACTACGGCTGGCTTTTAGGGGCTGATCGTCCCATCTCTCTCTGTCTTACCTCCATCAAGATGACCACGTCTTCATCCTCCTCCTCTTCCCACTGGCCGCGAACAGGTGTGTCCAACATCACAGGCAGCTCTTCATCCGAGGAGTCCGAGACGGTGATGAGTCCCTCGTCTTGGTGGCTAACCCGATCTGAAGGAAGGACAAGCCGATCAGCCCGCTAGCTGAAGGTCTGCAGGCAGTCCTCGACTTCCAACAGTGCATTTAGTGGCCGTTTAAAGTTACAGCCTCGCTGAAAAAAGGGACTCGGGACTGTTTTTCACACTTCCGTTGCGGCATCCCCCAGGGTCACGTGATGTATATTCGGGTGCTTGACAACCGACTCGCATTTATGACGGTCGCAGCATCCCAGGGTCACGTGATCCCCCTTCTTTGGCGACCTTACGACAAGCAAAGTCCATGGGGAAGCCAGATTCACTTAACAACCGGGCTACCAGCTTAACAACTGCAGTGATTCACTTAACAACGGTGGCAAGAAAAACGGGGCAAAACGCACTGAACAAATTTCTCACTTAACCAGCTCAATTTTGGACTGTGCTGTGCTCGTTAAGTGGATGGACTGAAATACGTGGCCGAGCTTGCGTGGAAATAAGGCCGGGGAGAAATCCCAGGACAGGGCTGGGTGACTATGGCCCCTGTGGACTTCAACTCCCAGAATTCCTCAGCCAGCCATGCGCAAGGCCCTTCCCAACCCCCTGGCTTAGCAACGGAACTACCTGCCCTTACCTTTCCCTCGATGGCTCCGGAAACTATTCAAGTTGATTACTTCTTTTTGACCTCCTTCTTCCATGTTAGAAGGTTACGCACCTGAGCATGACATCCACGTCGTCAGGAGCCCCTGAAAAAGAATCAAAGGACAGCTTGACCACCTGCCCCGTTGGCTTCCCACGAGTTTTGTTACCGCAGTCTCGGCGGCAGAGGGAGGCCTCCCGCTGAATTGCTCAGCATCCTAGTTTCCGTTTGAAGGTGGGTTCTGCACGGGGAAATCTAGCTAGAGGTGGCCCTTGACTTACCACCACTTCTTTGGCGACCGTTCAAAGTTACAAGGGCACTTAGAATCGTTTTTCACCCTTGCGATCGTGGCATCATCGCCACGCGATCAAAATTTGGGGGCTTGGCCACTGGTTCGCGTTTAGGATGGCTGCAGCGTCTCCCGGGGTCACGTGATCCCCGTTTTGCGACCAGTGGAACAGCTTGCCTCCAGACATTGTGGCTGCTCCATCAGTGTGTATGTGTGTGTGTGTGTGTGTGTTTAAGACAGTGATCGCAAACCTTTTAGAGACCGAGTGCCCAAACTGCAACCCAAAACCTATTTATTTATCACCGGGTGCCAGGTGGGCGTGGCCCACTGGGTGGACGTGGCTGTGGTGGTCATGGCAGACTGGGTGGGTGTGGCCAAAGTGGGCGTGATCACCTCAATGTTGCTCGTGGGGAGGGACGCCTATGGGGGCCAGGCAGGGTTGGGGGAGATCCAGGGGGTCTCTGGCAGGTGGGGCGGTGGGCAGGAGGCTCATCCTGCGGGGTGAGGCAAGGCAAGGCAGGGTGGGGGTGGCATTGTCACAGGGCAAGGTGAGGCAGGGGCCGGGGCGGCTGCTGCCTTACACCATCGGCCCCTGCACACAGAGGCCATTGAGCACATGGGTGCTGGGATGCATCCGGCCACGTGGGATCTCAGCAAGTTAGCGGGCAGCTGGTTGAAGAGGGACGGTTGCCATCTCCAGGGCATGGCGCGCATGCCTACAGAGAGGGCTCTGAGTGCCGCCTCTGGCACGTGTGCCATAGGTTCGCCACCACTGGTTTAAGAAGAGACTGAACAGCCCCTTGTCTGGAATGGTACAATGTCTCCTGCTAGAGCAGGGGGTAATAATAATCATCATAATAATAACGTTGGACCTTGGAGGGACCTCGGAGGTCATCTAGTCCAACCCCCTGCTCAGGCAGGAAAGCCTATACAATTTCAGACAAATGGCTGTCCAGTCTCTTCTTAAAAGCCTCCAGTGATGGAGCATCCACTATTTCTGGAGGCAAGCTGTTCCACTGATAATAGAATCATAAGACTGAAAGGTACCTTGGAGGTCCTCTAGTCCAACCCCCTGCTCAGGCAGGAGACCCTACACCATTTCAGACAAATGGCTGTCCAGTCTCTTCTTAAAAACTTCCAGTGTTGGAGCATTCACCGCTTCTGGAGGCAGGTTGTTCCACTGGTTAATTGTTCTAACTGTCAGGAAGTTTCTCCTTAGTTCCTGGACTAAGGGTGGACTAGAAGACCTCCAAGTTCCCTTCCGACTCCATTTGGATTGACCTTCTGACAAGCCAAGTCAACGGGGAAGGCAGATTAACTCAACAACTGCAGGGAGTCACTTAACAGCCGTGGGGTGGTAAAACGGGGCAAAACCCTCTTTAACAACTGTCCCGCTTAGCAACAGACACTGTGAGATCAGTTGCGGTTGTAAGTCGAGGACCACCTGCAGTTGTGGTTCTAAAATACACACACACACACAGCAGAAGCCTCATGGCTCTGGTTTGGCAAGCCTAAACAAGCTTTAATAGGCTGCCTTAACTCTCTCTTCCTGGCCACAGCTGCTCAAAGATTTCACACTGTGCCTTTTTTTGGGGCGGGGTGTCCTCCTCCAGGGATGTGTTTTGTGTCCGTGAAATGTGTGGGCGTCTACAGCAGGCGTGGGGAAGACGTCATGTGAAAACACAAAGAGGCTATAATTGAAATATGACATATAATCCAAATATGACATATGGATCCGAGCAGAGGCAGCAGGAGTGCAGAATAAACGGCGCCCTGGGAAAGACGCCCAACTTTGCTCTTTGCCAAAAGCCGGCAGCAAAACTTCGGTTCGCAACCGTTCCATTTACACCAGCCCCGTCGGCAGATTCAAGGCACGCCGGCCTTCGTTGGAGCAGCTCAGCGTAGGTTTGCGTGTGAATAAAATCTTTCCGAAGCAGACAGCGGAAAGCCCGGCACAGGTGGGGCCGTAAAACGCCAACAGACACATCCACCAGCCTTTATCAATTTCCTTTTTTTTTTTCCCCCTGGAATACACTCTGGATTCGTCGGGCCAGGTTTTCGATCAGAAAAACATTTCGCCCATCAGCCCAACGAAGTTGCCAAGACTGGACAGCCCTGCAGTAGATCATTCTGAATGCAAAATTTCTCCCCGGCTCAAACAGGAAACCAAAACTGGTTCAAAGAGGGCCGTGCAAGGATTCCTTCTGAAAGGAACCGGAAGTTCAAGGGCACACAGTTCAAGACTCTTCCTTACAACAAGCTCACAACTTCCTCCAGCGCCTAAACTGCAGCCAAACCCATCTTGAGAAGGGCGAAACGGGGATTTGTTTCTTCTATCAGCACAGAGGGGGGGAAAACATGAACCCCGGCATGGGCAGATCAACCAAAGCAAAAAGTTTCAACAAGAAACAACCGTCAGATGGATCAACAAAACCTCAAATTATATATTTAGGGGGGGAAAGATAATAATAATAATAATAATAATAATAATAATAATAATAATAATAATAATAATGATGATGATGATGATGATGATGATGATGATGGATGTGGCAGTGCCTGGGGACAGCAGAATAGACGAGAAAGAACTGGAGAAGATAACAAAATACAAAGACCTACAAATAGAAATAGAAAGACTGTGGCAAAGGCAAGCAAGGGTGGTACCAATAGTAATAGGCGCCTTGGGTGCAATCCCAAAACAACTGGAGCACCACTTGAACACCATTGGCATTGACAAATTCGCTATTAGTCAATTGCAAAAGGCGGCCTTACTAGGAACTGCTTCCATCCTGCGACGATATCTGTAATACCATCAAACATCCACATCTGCCTATCCCAGGTCCTTGGGAAAAGGACTCGATAGGTAGACAAAATGCCAAATCCAGTCTGAACATCTGGCTGACTGTGCGATGATCCATAATAATAATAATAATAATAATAATAATAATAATAATAATAATAATAATAATAATAAAGTTGACCAGGAGAAGGCAATTGAAAACAAGGGTTCATGAACAGCAAAGGCATTTTTGGCACAGCCAAAAACCCCTGATCTCAAACCACATTGATAACGAACAGCACCGGTTCTATTGGGAAGGGACAAAAATCCTTGGCCGTGCCAACCCTCGCCACACAGCTGGATTTATCTGGCATTCTACCAAAGGAGCAATTAACAAGATCTAGATCCAGCATATCCAGTGGCGCATTCTGGGAACACAGGGGGTCCTTGACTTACAACCGCAACTGAGCCCAACATTTCTGTCACTAAGCAAGACATATGTTAAGTGAGTTCTGCCCCGTTTTACGAACTTTTCTTCCCTCGGTTTTTAAGCGAATCGCCGCAGTTGATTAGTAACCCAGTTGACAAGTGAATATGGCTTCCCCCATTGACTTTGCATGGATGTTAGAAGGTTGCAAACGAAGATCACATGAGCCCGGGACACTGCGACCGTCATAAATAGGAGGCAGTTGCCAAGCGTCTGAATTTTGATCACGTGGCCATGGGGACGCTGTAACGGTCGTAAGTGTGAAAAACGGTGAGAAGTCACTTTTCTCAGCGCCCTTGTAACTTTGAACGCTCCATAAACAAACTGTTGTAAGCCTGTAGTGTATTTACTAATACAATTAACAACAGCAACCACTTACAAATGTCAAGTTCAAAGCAGGACTCAATCACATACACACACACACAAAAACACACACTTACTCCCACGGCTAAGGAAGAAAAGCACAGATGTCTGTCAAATCTCAAAGCCGCGAGGATGCAACTTGAAGATTCCTACACACCATTTCAATAAATCCACTTCGTCAAAAGTTATTCTCACAACAGGTAGCGGACAATTTCGGATTCTGCCCTGCCTCTCCCCCCCAAATCCCTGGCTCTTGTTTACCTTCCTTCCCCCCCATCCCATAAAAGTTCAGATGGCAGAGGCTGCCTTGTGTTTTCACTGCACACAAAACTAGCCCGACAGGTAAACGGACTTTGTCCCTGCCAGTGGTTACACACCAGGAAATTTATCCTTGCAATCCCAATGAACGACTTTCCAAGGGGAAGCAAAGACTGTCTTAGGGAGGGAGGGGGGGAAGACCAAAAGGAGCTGGGATGGGGGGGGGGAGAGAAGAAAACAGAAAAGGCAAAGGAGTGGAAGGAAGAGCACGGAGAGAACAGGTGGGAGAGTTCGAAGGGCTATTCCATAAATGGAAAAGGGCAGTTATGGCTCGGAGGAGGAGCAGACATGTGGCTGAAAAAAAATGTAAGAAGGAACACAAGTGATGTGTTGGATTTGTTCAAGTGGTAAGCCACGTTTACATTCAAGTTGGCAAACCATCATTAAAAACCCTAAAAGGTAAAGGAACGCAAATGTTAATGAAGAATTTAAAATCCTGATACAAAAAAAATAAAAATAAAATAAAAATAGTTCTCTGGAGATTTCCTAAATCCAGGGGACCAACCTGAAGAGGGGAAGGAATTCAGAAAGTCCATGAAGCATTTTGGCCTGGAGACCTGAAGGGTTGAGAGGCAGTAATTCAGACTATTTGGCCCTAGGCCACGTAGATTTTTAAAAGTTAGCAATACGGGTAAGTCTTCAACTTACGAGCACAGTTGAGTCCAAAGTTTTACGCTGTTAAGTGAGAAGTTTGTTAAGTGAGTTTCGCCCCCTTTGACAACTTTTCTTGCCACAGTTGTTAAGTTGTTCAGTTAGTAACACGGCTGTTAAATGAATCTGGTTTCCCCATTGACTTTGTCGGGAAGGTCGCAAAAAGGGGAT